ACCCACAGCCTTAGGTCATTTCTTACTGATAGCACCCAGAAGTCCCTGTAAAGCTTACCCAAAACTTATACATTTGTAAGATCCTATGGGGGAACCTTCAGTGCCTCAGTCAGCAAAAGCAAATGGCACACATAAAGGATTAGAAAAGAGTTTAATAGAGAGACATATGTGAGTGGGGTTAAGAGAACCAAACTGATGCAGCACCCAAGGACTAGCAACAGTGGTGAGCTGCTAATTTTGAGTCTGAAGGGGGCCACAGGGGCCTATTTGTTACTGGACCCTGGCAAGTATTGTAGCTGAAAGAGGGAAACCTCCTGCAAGGCTCCTCTTAGACCAAGGAACAGAGTGGCTGCCAAAGCAACTGAGGACAAGCAGTGAGAAGAAGGGATATAAATGCCCTGGTTCATTTCTGTCCTACCTTGTAACCTCCTAGTGGTACAGCCCACTAACCATATCCAACAGAGTACAAGGGAACCCGAGTAACAGAGTCCATAAAGATCAGCCTCATGAGACACACAGCAGAGAAAGATGGAGAGTTGATCAGGAGGAGGAAAGGAAACATAAGTAACACAGCTACCAATAGAACACAGCAGATCTTCCATTCATCCAACCAGTATCTTACTTGAGGGGCTAGGGAGACAATAGTCAACAAGGCAGTCAAGGTCCCTGGCTTCTGGTGTTTACCATCTACTAGAGAGCAATTGACAGTGATCATATAAACAAACAAACAAAATATGCAGTATTTTCAGATGGTAGTAAAAGCCAGGAAGAAAGACAAGATAATTAATAGAGGGTGAGAAACAAAAACAAACAAAAAACCCACTGCCATGGATTGCAATTCATAGTGACCCTATAAGATTGTAGAACTACCTTCTAGGATTTCCAAAGCTGTAAATCTTTATAGTAGTAGACTGATTCATCTTTTTTCCCCACAAAGCAGCTGGTGAGCTGAAACCCCTGATTTTTTGGTTAGTGATTGTTGTTGTTGTTGTTATTTGCTGTCGAGTC